GCAGAGAAGCGCGCGGGGCCTGGTTTTTTCTTTTATTACAAAACAAAACATTAATCACTAAAACACGTACCTTTTTTTTTTTTTTTTTTTTTGTGGAGGGGGTTTTTTTTTTTTTTTTTTTGGTTTTTATGTGTGGAGGAGCAAAAGATTGTTATTTTTTGGGGGGGGGGGGGCGGGAGGTAAGTGCTCTTCAAAAAATTGGGTACGTTCAAACGCCAACACATACCGTAGGTCTAGTTTGGGAGTTGCTTGCTGCAAGTTAGGCCTCCTGCTGATAGTATTTTTACTAGTAACAGTAGTAAGAACAGAATAGTCAAGAGAGTTTATACTGAATTAGTTTTCTTATTTTTTGGTTATTTTTTATTGTCACGTTTATTTTTTCAATTAGTGCAAATAAATTGAAGTATTTTTAACGGTACACTTTTATCAATTGACGTTTCGGTTTGACATCACATGACGTATTTCCCAGTGAAACCCAAACCACCCCCACCCCGACCCATGCACCAACCTTTTGTGGAGCCCGCGGTAACACCCGCTGACCAACATGGCGTCTTGCACAGCAGCTAAAAAACGAGCATCTCGACAGAAAGCTGCAAACAATGTTGTTCAAACTGCTCCGATTTGCAAACTTCCCGGGAATATTATGCTACAAGTGTTCAATTACCTTAATGTAAAGACACTCTGTGCTTTATCGACTGTTTGTCCGCGATGGTATCATCTTGTTTGTGATCGCTCGTTGTGGAAATACGTTGATCTACGCTTGTGGCCACTCTCGCTACGGACTTTGCAGAAAATTGTAAGGAATCGCTTGTCAGATTCAGTTCTAGAGTTGCTCATCAAAGGCTTCATTGGGACCACCAAAAAGGACGAAAACATTTCACCATCTTTGCTTGAGGAGATCAAGACGAAATGTCCAAGTGGAAGTTTAGAAACTCTGGGCTTGTGTTACTGTGACATGAGAAATATTCCCGCGCAATGTTTGCCACGAAATTTAAAATCGTTACTTCTAGATCATTCGATAGTTCCGCTTGGTTGGTTTGAGGGATTGCAATGTGAGACGTTTTTCCCAAATCTATTGCAGTTGAACCTAACATATTGCACTCGGGTTGAGAATTGAGATCTCCGTAGCATAACGAAGCTGAAAAAACTTGAAAATTTAAATTTCAGTTATTGTTATTGAGTTGGTGACGAAGGCATTTAACATATCGCCCGAAATCTTAGTAATCTGAAAGTCCTTAATCTTTCAAATTGTCCGAAAATAACTGATTTAGGATTGCATCATATTGGACGACATCTCATTGGTCTAAAAAGGCTTAACCTGCTATCAAGTTGGAGAATAACTGATGCTGGTATTCTTTCACTGGTTCACAGTCTCACTGAACTGGAATATTTGAATCTGTCATCATGCAAGGAGGCGACTAATTCAGGGCTTACTGAGATCACTGACAAGTGTAAAAAGCTGAAGTTTTTGGAAGTAACAGACTGTACTGCTATTACAGAAAGGAATGTGAGTAATGCTACGTTACTTTTACAAATGTACCTCTGTGTGATATTCATTGGGTGTAGGAAAAGTTACATGTATGCACTGAATTTTTTTTCCCTTTAGAATTATCATTGAATATTGCTCGGGAGCTAAGTTTTGAATGGGCACAGTACTAAACTTCATTAGCAGACTTAAAATGGGCATCATTAGTTTTAAATAGTCTTTAAATAGAGCCCTTTCCTCACTGCAACTCAAGTATAAGCATAAGTATAGCATGGTTCACACCAGCGACACAAGCATAAGCATGAGCGTAAGAGGCTTATGTGCTAGTAAGGATGGCCTTGACATAAGCATAATTCTTCTTGTACTAATGCTTATGCTTATGGAATGACAGTTCTCACTAGCTCATAAGCTTCTTGTGCTCATCAGTGCATGCTTATGCTTGCATTGTGCAAAAACTCATGCTTATGCTTGTGCTTACACTCCCAGTGAGAGCCAGGCTTTAATAAGAGATTTCATTAGTCTGCACTATTTGTAAAACAACCACATTTGCCCTGGTCAATGTGAGCAGTTGGGGAGAGGAGATAAAAAAAAAAACACACCACACCATCTACTTTGCAGACATTGAATTTGTTTGAACTAGTGAGTCTTACGAGACATTGTCTTTGCTAGGGAAATTAGATGCCATCACCTTTTAACACTACAGGGTTTTGTATGCACCTTGAAAATCCTTGAAAGTCCTTGAAAATTGCAGTCAGCACTAGAAAGACCTTGAATTTCAATGCTAACTAATAGTTTAAGGAGAACTGCAAAAGAAAAGGAGCAAACACAAAGAACTTCAGGATAAAAATAATTCTCCTGATGTGAAAGAGCTAAACAGAGATAGGCTCAAGGTTCTTTTTTCCACTGAATGGAGTCCTTGAAAAATGCGAAATGAAAAAAGTCAAAGTCCTTGAATTTTTTGTTCAAAAAAGGGTACTAACCCTTACATTAATTCTGCGCACCAAAGCCTGTCAAAATAGTCTGTTCAATCTCCAGTTTTCTAAAACCTAAACAAAGATTTACATTGCAATTGGCTTAAGTTAAGATTTGAAAAGCTCATTTGTTTTTCCTCCAAACAGTAGCTAAACATATCTGCTTTACAAATTACAGTTAATTGCTGTTGTACATGTGTAAAAAAAGTAAGAAAAGGGAGAAATTCTAGTACCATATCACAATCAAAGTTATTAAAGTAATACAATACAATTTAACTTTCTTAACATGTCCCAAAATGGGCCGATTTTCAATATTAATTTGCAGTCATCCAGGGTAAAGCCCAATTACAATACTACTAAAAGTTATGAACCTAAACTAAACTAAAAATAATTATGAACCTAAAAACATTACATAAGTCAAAGTATAGATGCCCAAGGCTGTGCTCTAAGGAAAATTGGAGGGAGCCCAGTGCTTTGAACCTGTAAAATTTAGGGTGCCCAGCATATGATTTGTAAGAAAAAACTGAGATTTTCTACTCGCCCAAGGGCAAAAGTTAGGCGCCAGGGGCCACCGGGCTCTGCTAGAGGACAGCCCTGGATGCCCAAAGTTACCTACGGGCATGTTGTTTAAAAAGATCAATGTTCATACTGTTCTTAGTGTCCTCTTTTAACTTATTCCATGATACTATTGTGTAACAGAAAAATGATCTTTGTGCAGTTGAGGTTCTCCTAAATATAGTGTCTAAGTGATTTTTCTATCTGGTATTGTGACTGTGGATATTAAAACGCTTGAGCAACTATTGGCTCAAGGTGACTTGCAGCGAGGCCATTAAGAATTTTAAAAAACCCTGATTACTTAACGAAGTTGCAACATTTTCTCTATTGGAAGCCATCTAAGTTCTCTAATGGTTGTGGAAATGTGATCATTTTTTTTTTCCCACTTAGTATCGTGGCTGAGAATCTCTGCAATAACTGCCAACTAGCTGTCGATTAAACACAGGTCATTTGCGAATACCTTTCGTATCTCCTTCAAAGAGTCTTGTTGTTCATCCATTTATATAAATCTACTTTCCGTCATGCACATGCAAATTAAACTCTTTACAAATTGTTGTTTACCAGTCTTCAGGTTGACGAAGAGGCTAAGTGCAATATGAAACTGAACGGCCTATTTATGTAGTATGACCGCTTGTTAGAAACTACAATGAGACTAACCACCTTTGTCTTATGTCTCGTTTTCGATTTAGCAGTGGTTACTTTTCCCTGTTATTTGTTTTGTTCGCTTCTCTGTAACGTTTTCAGTTGAAGTGACCTGGTGCTTTCGAATTATATTTTTAAATTGGGAGTATCACCTGTCTGAAGACAAGTCACTGCCGCTTTCAAACAGTGCGATCCATTCAAAACAAAATACTCAAAGTTTTTGTAGTTAGTGCACGTTGTAGCTCGTTGTTCCAACAGTTTAAGTTTAGAAGTTTATGACCGCAAGTCTCCTCACCATCACTGGTGAACCTCTATTTAACACATTTTGTGAGGGGTCCTTGTGTTAATCAAGAAAAACCGAGTAGAAGAAGTCTGGACACAATTTACCTCACGTGAGATGCTTTCGCCTTTTTCGACTAGTATTTTCATATTTTGCGTGATGTCATCATAACGACAAATTTTGACATAATATCAGGATATTATTCTGTTGAACATCAAACATTTCTATCCCACGTGTGTCTGCTTAGAACATAGATTTGTAGGTTTTAGGAAACGGTGATGCTTGGCCTGAACTCTAGTAGCACACTCCACTCGAGGAGACGGCTGAAATTCAGGCTAGATAATGCCCTCTTGGTTTGATATTGTAGTAGTCATCACGGAATCGAAGGTGTGGGGCACTGCTGCCGATATTTTTCTCTCCTGAGAGAAGCGCTGGGGACGAAATTGTTCTTGAGCATCTTAAGTTTTAAAACCTTTTTAAACACGGAAATAATGACTAGTGATGATAATAATAATAATAATAATAATAATAATAATAATAATAATAATAATAATAAACTGAATAATTTTCTAAATAGGCGTCTAGTGGAGATAATAGAGATAATAGACTGTGATGTTCTAATATTGGCAAAAATAATAGTTACATTTGATCTCTTTCCATGCCTCTATTGCCTATTAGAGTTCTGTTAACAACTTTGTTATATTTTTACTTTTTACTGGGCTGCCTGTGCGCCCAGTCATAAAATGGGCTTTCGGTCGTCTGCGGCGAAAAACGTCCTCCCGGGGAGGGAAGACACGAGGGTCTGGTACCGAGAAACGATGTTCTCACAAATGGTTTCATATGAGTTTCTCTTGCACGGAGCCTTGTACGGATACTTTTTGTACCTCGTCTGCGCTCCCCCTGAAAAACCCACAAAGCGTTGCGAACCTGAAGAACACTGTTTGCGTTTTTCGAAGTATACCAGTCATGAATTACGAATAGATTTTCGGTGTAAGGGCTCGTGTAAGGGCCCTTACACCATTACAGCACTTTCAGATTATAATGCGAGGTATAATGTGACGCTTTAGTCTTTTTTTATCAACGCAACAATGACAATAGACAAAATGGCGTATGTAACCCGTTTGCAGCAGCCTATGAGTTCTTGAAGGCTCATGCTGTTGTCATGGTAACAGCATTTTTTGTTTATTATAGTCTTCATCACATTGATTACGCTAGGTGGTTTATTAGCCGAGAAGGGCACCTGAACAGGACATTTTGCGCGAAATGCACAACAGCCATACCGCAATGTATTTTTAAGTGCAAAACCAAGTTGTTTTTTAGCCTTTTATGATTTTGTTTTTTTTGTTTGTTGTTTGTTGTTTTTCCGCTTTGCTTTGCTACAAAAATGCAAATCGCTTACGTTGCCCATAAGGCACCAGTCATCTGGCCTACCAAACACAGTTTCCCCTATTTACTATTGGCTCTTTTTAAGCGATTTGG